CAGCCAGCGAATGCTGGCTGGGGAATTCTGGGAGTTGAAGTCCGGACATCTTCAAGTGGCCAAGGTTGAGAAACACTGCACTAGTGGGTGCTGATTCTGTAATTTTCCCTGGTAATTCCCAGGTTATGAACACCCGTAACCAGGAGATTACCTGTAATATAAAACTCACATTGCCCAAACTTGCATATCTGTACATGGTACAGTGCACAGTGAATTCTTCCTCTCCACAGAACATACTCATTTTCACATCGGTGGCATTCAAAGAATGAGTAGATAATAATGCACAGGATTATAAATCCATCACATGAAATATCCTACTATTATATACATGTATTGAATGATGTTTGCCCCCATCAGCAAGTTTTTGCACACATTCGAAGCTTTAATATATAGATTTAAAAAAACAGGTTCCTAAGAAGCTAGGTTTATCCAGCCAAAATAAAGAAAATTATCTTAATCTTAGTTAATGAAAGGAGATATGAGAACATCAGGATTCAACAGCAGCTAAGATAAAATACATTTGGTGTGTTAGTAAAGTGGGTAGGACAGTTGGGCAACGGAGATGCATTTAGAGTCAGCACATAAAAAGGAAAACAAATCAGAGAGGGAAATATGAAGTAAAAGATAGATATTTAATAAGTCTACGTATACAGATGCTAAACAACAGCTACATAATCCCTAGATATTCATTAGATTTTAGGTTGAAATGTACGTGCTGCTCCAAAAAGAAATATCCTCTGTTTAATTCAACAAATATTTTGAATTGATCTAAATTGCACACATGAATTAAATGAAATATGTTTTATACCACTTTCATGACCATTATTTATTTGCATCTTGACATATTTGATTGCAAAGTGCATTTTAATTGCCTAATTCTTTTATCTATTGTGAATCAAAATGAGATAAATAAATCAAAATATTTTTACATTTATGTTTGCTATATGGAAAAATGAAAAGAAAATTAAGCAACCATCAGCATATTATCAAGGACGATGATTACCGCACAGTAGCTAAAGTATCTTTAGGCTTTATGTTTGTTTTTTAAATTAAAATTAGCTGCTTAATGACACCAATTCAGATGTCTTTTGCTATTCTTTTTCCGAGGCATATTCTCAAGGATATCCTCTGCATCTCTCAGGTTGTGAGAATAAATTGATCTAGAAACATACATTGTAGTGGCCTCTTTTGCACAAAGGTCTCTTGGATTTGATTACAATACTACTTGCTAATTTACTATTGTTCAGGAATCCATAAAACTGGATGCTGCATTATGTTTGATCATGGATTACTAGCTAAATCTTAACTTTAAAAAATGTTAACTCTTCAAACCGCGAATGAACAAATACCCGAAGGCTGGTCCATGCCTGACACTTTCTCAATCACGTCTATTATTTTACCAAGACCGCCATGCGGTATAGCATCATTTGACCTACAAATGCAATGCGCCTATTCTTTAACGCTGCTCTAGTTATGTGCTCGGGGGACATCCTCACTACATGTAGTCCTTGACTTACAATTCAATTTAATTCAATTCATTAGATTTATAGGCCGCCCAATCCCGGAGGACTCCGGGCGGCACAACAGGGACCAGAGAATTTATCGTTAAGAGGTGCAATCATCAAGTGAGGCACCTTACCAGTGCACCACATTTTATCACCTTCTTTTTGCCATGGTCAGGAAGCGAATCACCATAGTCATTAAGTGAAACATCATGTGGTCACAATATGTGATCTTCCCTACTGGCTTTTCCGTTGAATCTGTTTGTCGGTGGTCGTCTGGGAAGGTTACCGTGATGGCGAACTTATGGCACGCATGGCACAGGTGGCATGCATAGCCATATTTCTTGGCACACCAGCCGTCAGCTCTGGCGCCCATGTGTGGGCCAGCCAGCTGATTTTTGGTCTTGCGGAGGGCCGGGGGAAGCTGTTTTCGCCCTCCCCAGGCTTCAGGAAAGCCTCCGGAGCCTGGGGGGGGGGTCATGTGTGGATGCACGTGGGGGGAGGGCGTGCGCATGGGGGAAATTGAATTTGTGTGGGCACGCATGCGTGCGTGATAGGAAGCGCACACATTTTTGGCACACCGTAAGAAAAAGATTCGCCATCACTGTCATAGGACATGGGATGCTGCAACTATTGTAAAGGTGTGACAGTCGCCAAGCATCTCAATCATGATTTTTATTGCCTTTTTTTATTAAAGTCTGCTCATATGTTACTGACTACAGAATTTCTATTTAACAATTATAAAATATTTGTGATTACTTATGATGCACAGACCTTCTGCCCATGGGTAAGTGTAATATAAGCACATTTATGGAAAATGTTAAAGATGCTAACGCAGTGTTTCTCAACCTTGGCGACTTTAAGTCCTGTGGACTTCAACTCCCAGAATCCCCCAGCCAGCATA